AACATTGGAGGGTCTTCCATTTCTCGAGTAAATGGCAACCTTTCTACGAAGTTTGATTCGTCATAAGCGAAGGACCCATTTCGGAGATCTGAAAACTAAATGGGAAATATTCAGGGTGTCATTTCGAGGACTGACCTGAAAGAGAGCACGCTTCCTAATGACGTCATAAATAAAAGGTCGTACGATGCAGACTGGCCTTCATATAGAACTAAAAGCGACGTCATACAGTTCATATTATTCAGACTGTCACGTTAATTAAAAGTAGATATTCATTGATTTTAAAAACTAAATTTATTTTCATTATTGCAAAGTTGAAACTTGGATTCGACAAGGTTATCGAAATTCAATGCTTGGGAACATTCGAAGTAAGGATTATTATAAATTACAAAACGCTTAGATAACGCCCCGGCATAGCACCTGAAGAGCTCTCCGAACGCTGCTGAGGTGTGTGAGATCACAGTATGGACATGATTTGCACAAGCAGACGATATCCCATGACATCTCACACATTTTCAGTGCCTGTGTTTTCATCTTCTCTTGAGTTCTTTCTCTTACTTCACTACCGTCATGCTAAATGTATTCTATTGCCTCACTCTAAACCCCGTGCATGGTTTTATTTTAATGACAAATGCAGCGATACCAAAATAGGGGAATCTGTCGCTAGCAAACAAAATAAGACGCCATTGTATATTCAGCTGCACACACCGGGTTATGCTCGGCGTTTCAAGAGGGAACAAATGCCGTCCTTAATATCATTCCGGGGGGTTTTCAATTTGAAAGTCTGGTTTCTTCGATTGTTAATTAACCCCTATCCTGTGTATTTACAAGCAAAAGATTTTTGTTATCAGAATCGGGTCATATCCCCTTTTGAATGGTTTGACATGCCATTACATTTATATACACTAAACTCATTATAATTTGAAAAATAATAGCTTTGCAATTATGTCCATTCTCTATGGGATCTCGTCTGCTTGGGCAGTGTTGGTCCATATAGTGACGTCATCAAAACATCGTTATTTTTCCGGCGAATCCCTCGTATATCCCAGCTGCTATGGAGGTGGTTGTATTTGTATTTTCATAAATCACCCGATATGTTGACATATTTGTGATCTTCTTTGAATTTCACCTTTAAAAAAAATGAAAGATCATATCAGGCACATAGAGAGTGCAGTGACCCTCACTTGCGACTTTACTAATGAATGATTTTTTTTTTCTTTCGGCGCACTGATTCGGCAAAGACCCACACATTGTGAGGTTCATGTAAAAAAAAAGTAATGGAAACAATGGGCGAGTTCAAGTTCGGTGTTGGTGCTGATCTTTTCACGACACTAACATCAGCTTTCGACACCGAACTTGAAATCAACCAATGGCATGACCTGCCAAACAGAGATCTATAGATTGGTTGGGTGAATGCATGTCCAGCGAAAGGCCTTACCGGGTTGAGTTTGGTGATCCGACATTTGCTCCGGCGATATTTACTTCAGCGACATTTTGTTCGGGCGACATTAATTTACTTCTGCGACATTTGTTCGGGCGTCCTTTGCTGCAGGCATTAATGTCTATTCTGTTTGACTCTATATATTTTGTTTTCCTTTGTGTGGTAATCGTATTTGTATATTTCATCTGTATATAGCGTACATATAAATTTCATGGTGTTTATAGCTTTATTTTGTTTGTTTTTGTTAATTTGCTCAGCTAAATCATTATGATATTGTTGAGGGTATATATTTTGCAAGCTATAGGCTTCTTAGTAGGCCTTCAAATTTCCAAAATACTCTCTTGTTTTAGATCTCAATCTGTTCATGATGGTCTTTAGTTTTAATCTTTTTCGTCAAATCTATGTTAATATTTGCCATAAACTTGAATTGGTCAAATATGAATACAATTGTATTCATGTTTAAAATTGGGAATTCTGATGGTGTAAAAAAAAATTGACCGCAGAGCAATTCCAATGGTCGCTAGAGCATACATGTACAGTAAGTAGTAAAATCGAAGGGCAAGTCGGAGCCTCATTTCGTAGAATAAATTCGTATCGTCTTAATAACTTTTTTTACAAGATTACTTTGAATAGTGATTCAATCAAAGGGAAATCCAACCTTGATAGCAAACTACTCTACAAGATTTGCATTTCAAAGATGAATTAAATGCAATGGAACAAATTAATTTTGCTATTAATGAAATAAATCAAATGATCATAATTTTAGTTTAACGTAAATAGTATTAGAGCTATATGTCTAGTGTCTTTTTTTTAATGAAAATGCGAAATTCGACCTGGCTAATCACTCATCTTAAAGATTTTTAGCCGCTTTTCGAAGGATCATCGATTGGCCAGTTTGTTTTGACTACAGTAAATTATTAGCCTTCGCTTTATACTTTTTCGTGTATTTCCATTTCATGCCAATGCTTTTTTGTTCTGCCATACGGGCAACTACTGGGATTTGGTTTCTGAAAATCAAAACATAAAAAGGGAACATGACAAATGTCCAGAAATTGTTGAATATAAATGAGAGAATTTGAGATGTAATGGAGAAGAAATCTAGATTTTAAAGAGTGTGGGACAAATTTATGGGAGAGAATGTATTGGCAGCAATAAATGAAATTATTTCAACCCATGAGTGAGCTATTAGTGCTGACTGATCTTTTTAAATGTGATAATATTTTTATTATAGCGATATAGACTGCAAGATAGGAAAGCAAATAATGCAGGGAAGGACAAACAACATGAAAGGAGAGGATGAATGAGAACAGAACAGGAAAATAGGCTACATGGACCAAATATAATCACCAGAGAGAGAGGGAGAGGGATTGAGAGCGAGAGCGAAAGAGAGAACCGACGAGAGAAAAAGTGAGAGCCAGGGAGAGATAAAGATGGACAGATAGGCAGGAAGGTGAAGTTAAAATGCTTTACGCTTTCTAAAGGCCCGGTCACACAGAGGGGACGCATGGGGGACGCACGGCCAGCGCAATGGAAATTTGGAATTTTGACCAGTTCGTTGTCGTTCGCTAGGTGTGCGTCATCATTCGTTACTCGTTCCTCGAGCGCGCTGGACCCACGCTATGCATTCGTCGTCATTCGCTGTGTGCGTCGGGATTTTTTGAGCATGCGTCCCCCATGCGTCCCCTCTGTGTGACCGGGCCTTTAGCAATCACTACCATAATTGGCTGAACGTTTGACGGGCCTACGAAGTATAAACCAGCAAACGTGATATTGGAAATATTAAGAACAAACAGTCCTTTCATTTTGTTACTCTCATATTGTATTTGTATTTGTATTTATTAACATTTATTTCCTTCTCAACAGCACAATATAAAACACAATGTATATATACATGATATATGTAACAATTATTTCAACATAGAGTATACAGTAATTAATTCAGATACGGAAGGAGGCGAAAACCCGGAAAGCCTAGCTTGAGTTCGGAATAGTTGGAACGCCCATAATAAATTAACACAGTTACCGAAAGAACATTATAGATATTATTATGAAAATTATATTGTATATAACAGAACATATATGTTCTTCATTACGTTGTATGTTTCGTTAATCTCTCCTCTTTCTCTGTCTCAACAGTTAAACTCTCTATTATCTCCCCCACCCATACTTTCTCTCTCTCTCTCTTTCTCAGTTTAAATTTTGACTTGGCGCACTTACTCTTAAGAATATGAGGAATAATGTCAATTTAAGCTTTAGAGGAATACAGTATGGAAGGAACTTCCTTGACGGTCGATTTCGTGTCAAATGTTAGGGGCGCAGACATACAGTTCCCCCATCATACCTTAAGCAGACTAGCGACAACCAAGAACTTCGCAAAGGTAACACATTGATGAATTTCGAGCTTTTATTTTAAAAGCAATACTCGCTTCTCTCATATGTTACGAGATACAAGAAAACAAAAAGTTAGGCACGCCACCCTTCAATACATGTCAGTATACAAATAAATCCACGGTTATTATGAACAAACCTTAAAAGAGAGGTAACAAAGATGATTGCATGTACATGCATTACAAACAAGAAAAATCCCCTAGCTTACTGTAAAACCAGCAATGTCTGTGACACAAAACTTTTGTGCAGTGCAAATAACAGCCTCAAAGTGTCACTATATTTCCAATAACCTCAATTAAATTATGGCCAAAAATATACTTTGCATTAAAAAAATTGTTATATAATAAGAATATTAATCTACATCTGCACAGTTCAACTCGAGTTGATGCAGTTAATAATGATTGAGCATCCCATTCGGCTTTTCATATTTCATAAGTCATTCGTAAAGTCATGCGTAACTTTACAAACAGCTTTATGAAACACCCCCACAGATTTCATTAATTTGCGGCATAAAAATAATTATGCAAAATAATTGTGTTGTTACACTTTTATGAAAGACTTTTTGGATTTTGCCAAATTTGATTTAAAGGGACTTGGTAACATTGTTCAGATGAGAGATAGTGGTGCTAAGGTAGTGACTTCAATGCTAGATGTACAATTACAGATAATTTGAAAGTTTGAGTGAAAACGGACCATTATTCATGGTACAAATTGGGAAAAACTGATCTGATCGATTCCTTAATTCTCCCAACTATATTATTACAATTTAATTACATTTTAGGTGAATGGAAATCGTCACAAAGCAATAAAATGGCTCTACATTCCATTCCAGACATAATAAGTGTTGACGGATTCTTTATAGCCTGTTTTATGTCTTTTTTTTCATGGAAAAACGGTTGGGAAAATTCAAAATTGTTTGGGAGAATTTACTGTTAATCAATAGAGGGTGTCATACATCGACTCCGTCAAGGAAAACTATAGATATCTTCGTGGTTTGAGAATTTTCTCAGGATTTTTTGCATGTCAGAGGGTTAGAACAGTAGAAGGAATATAGTAAGTAACATTTTATACAAAAATTAAGCATTTTTTCATCAACCTTCAACAATGTTACCAAGTCACTTTAACTTGAAACTTTAACTTTAACCGAAAGAATTAAACATTATATAAATTTATCTGGAAAGATATGGATAGAGTTACCAGAAACCAAATGATTCAAGATTATGATTAAGGTGGGGTAAGAATGGTTGATGTTTAAAGTTATATTTATGCACTTAAAGTGACATGGATAAGAAGAATTCTAAGAGCAGATAATGTACACTGGTGTAATGTTTTTGTGACCATAGCTAACACTCCTGACCTGTTATATGTTGTGAGTGGTTCCCAAAAACTGTGTAATATATTTCATCCTGATCAAAATAAGAATTGTTTTATTTATGTTTTAATAGCTTGGAGTAAGTGTGTGCTTCTCATGTACCACAAAATGAATATGATCTAATGACAAATATGTTGTGGTTTAATGATAGAGTTAAAATTGGCGGCGAGTGTATTTGTTATAATCATTGGGCAAAGAAAGATGCAAGGTCCGTTAGTGATATCATGAATGATTCAAGGGAATTCCACCTTTCCCTCAACAGGTTTAGGGACAGATTTAATGTTCGAACAAGTTTATTGAATACGGTGGAGTAGTGAATGCAGTTAAAAAAGGTAGGCTCTTGGAGAATATATCTACTAAATTTACTCAACCCTTCAAACCTTTCCATTTCAATTTTTGTTTTTAAAGATAAGAAATGGTCGAGGAATATTTATGATATGCTTGTTTCTGTTTAAAAAGTCATAAGAAAATTTACTGAAAAATGGAACAATATGTTGAACATTCGATACATTCAAGACGATTGGTCGGTAGTGTATAATATCCCGTATAAATGTACCACAGATACAAAAATTAAGGTGGTTTCAGTTTAGGCTCATCCACAGAATGTTAGGCGTTAATTCTTTCCTTATTAAAGTAATAAAGTCGATTCAGGTCTCTGCTCCTTCTGTAGTCTTGAAGAAGAAGAGACATTAATTCACTTGTTCTGTGTATGTCCGATAATCATATTGTTTAGAAACAAAGTAGCTCAATGGTTGAGGGAGCTTTCAAGTACCCATATTCAAATTGATGAGGATTTGTGTTTATTTGGAGTCAGATCTCTCAAATTTAGTGCTTTGAACACTATCATTCTAATTTCTCGTTTTCATATCTACAGAATGAAAATGAATAATAAACATCCAAATTTAGGAGAGGTTGAGAGGTATTTTTTTTATCAAGAGAGATTCATCTTTATAAAAAAAAACTATCAGTGTGATAACTTTGATTAGAATTGGGAATTGTATTTTGATTTCTTTTATGCAGTAGGCTTTACCTCTGCTTCTCTAAATTTTGTATAACTTGAAATTTGTATATTTTCTGTGTAAAACCGATGTATTGACATTGCAAATTGATGTGAAACTAATTAAAGTTCTGTTTTCCCTTCTGGAAAAAAAAAGAAGAAACAAAAACAACTTTGTTAAACTTATGCTTTTAAAACCCAATGTGTAATAATAATCACTCATCTTAAATACAATGCTACATTAATCCACTAAAAATTATACTCATCAGAAAACGTAAGTAAGTGCCTTGAATAAACATGGACTTGTTAGAAAAACAGAAGTCGACATAATACACATCTCAAAACTAATTAAATGATACATGTTGCATTGTAAATTGATTTATATGTTTATAAACAGAATATTGATATACACCAAGAAAGTTTAATAAATACAATACAATACATGTATGTTTATAAGCCCCTAAATGTAAATAAAAATATCGTAACACTAATATTTCCTTATAAATTTAATTTATATATGCAGCACAATTTCCCTATAAATGTTCGAATAATCATGACAACTTGCCTTCAGCAAATTGATTTTTGGAAGATTACAAGCCTATCCTTGAAACATCACCATCAATTGGTTTTATTTATTATGATTTCATGTCCTTTAGAACGCTCACTTTATCATAGACGATTTTTGCTGCTACAGCATCTTCAACAGCCAATCCTAGAAGACAAAATCAAGATAAGAGCAGGGTCGGTTAGATCTTAGAAAATTATTTTGTCAAGGCCAGCAAGGGATTGGATTCAACTGGTTCCAACGTTTTAACTGGGGATGCAAAGATCGGCCTACCCTTGGTTTTAGGACACCATCAAAATCAGTCGGTTTCATTTGTTATGGTTTGTTATTGTTATGGTTTTCGTTCAATTGGGGGGGGGGGGGTGGGTTTCCTCCAAAAGACACACACACATTAACAAAAAATGAGGGGGGGGGGCTTTGACACCCCCCCCCCCCCCCCCCCTGCGTACGCGCCTGACAGCAAGTAATGTTAAAGCAGTCAATATTCACCTTGAGATTTGAAGACCGTAAGCTCATCTCTTTTGGCTTCCTTGGTCCCATTAATCACCTCTCCAATCTCTGCAAACACCGTCACCTTCAAGATAATTAGTGAATAAAGAATGACACTTTCAATTTGTAGCTTAGCAAAGCACAGTAGTGGCACGTTATGATGCGTTAGGAATGTCAAAGGCATAACGGTTGGTGATATTGGTGAATTTAAACTTGTAATTTCAACAATATACAATGCCACTTTCCGTACGTTGGCATGATCTCGATAGTAAATGTACACTTTACATGTATTTCTACCACCATGCCACAAATGACGATTTTTTCCCAGGTAGTAATACAAACCTAATCGGAGTTTTAATTAAGGACCTATGTTGAGGAAACCTGGAAGACCTCATCTTACCTATACAGACCTACTCAAGAAGGACACGGGACTTGAACTGTCAGAGATAAAAGCAGCCATGCTGGACAGGAATGTGTGGAAGGCCATCACAGCTCGGGCAGTTGACATAAGCATGTTGTCAGTTTATGATGCTACCATCCAGAATAATTTCCTACCACGGAAGTGAAGGTGTCGGGAAAGGTGATTGCACAGCATGTAAGCATTAATGGTACACTCACAGAAAGCCTCACAGGAGTGTTATACATAACAATAAATCTAGCCCAACCTCACCCAAGGTTTGTCTGCTTCACCCACACAACAATGGTGATTCACAGTCTCTTTATTTGACTAGACCTGGGCCCTGTTTCATACAACTGTTATCAGTAACAAATGCTAAATTTATATGACGAATTCGCTGTCAGCCAATCAAATATCAGGATTTCAGTAGCTTATAACAGTTATTCGGAAAATGCTTTGTGTATACTTTGAGTGTTTCGTAACACATTTTAACCCCCGTAAAAGTGGATAATTTGATTCAACTACATGTAGTATCAAAGTAATTTGGGTTAATAGCGATGGGCAAATCTAAACTCAAACTACTGAAGTAGGCCTACTGATGGGTCTAACATCTAAAATTCTAGTTTTGGGGGCTCTTGGAGAAGCAGAAAGATCTTAAGCAAATAGAAAATACAAATTAAAAAATAGTATTTACTATCACTACGACTTTCAAGATATACCAAGTGACCTCATTTAGACTATACTTGTTGCAAGATTCTTGGTAAGTGGGATATAATGCTAATTACCTTGGAATGGACGATGTCCCCAGAATTTTGATATGCCCCTGGAGTGTTATCTGCGTAGATTACAGCCTTCTTCATCACTTCAACGCCCAACTCCTGAGCCCATGGTTGGCAGGCCCCAACACCTAACACACAGTGTGATGATCAAAGAGAACTGGAATCCTCAAAATACTGTACTCAGGTCATATAGCAGCGTTTAGGAATGATTGATCCTCGTACCATAAGTTCAAACTGTGTCCTATATCACTGGGCCGGTATTCAATTCGAAAATTAAAGGCATTGTTTAACAATGTTAAATCTGAGATGCACGGCCCTACGTGTTATCAGTGTTTGTGATATGGTGCAATATTGAAGCCCTAAAAAATTGCGCTTCAAAATGATCAAAAAGTGCCTCCAAAAGTAAACATCTTTGAGTGACCGGTTTTTCCATACTCGTTTTCCCCAATAGACTGTAGTGTTCAAAATTTGTAATTCCAATAAAAAATATCTTGATAATCAGACATGCTATCGGCTTGTAAAAATCATGGGGTTCCTGAAAGACCTAAATGTTTATCATTATCATTGCAGCATGAGTTAAATCCAGGATTTTGTTTCAGAATTTGAGACAAAGTTACTTGATCCCTTTAAGTTTGAAATAAGAGTATTTTAGGCTTAGTCTTCTGCTTAGATAAAATACTAATGCTAATTTTGTGAAGGCCTTGATATGCAGGCGTATGTTTTTTTAAAATCTTTATATACAACTCACTCCCAGATCCTAACCAAATGATTTGTCATGCGCGGTCACGTGTGATTCATTTACTGAGATTATAAGTTGATGACGTGGACCCTAATCAAATGATTGATTGAGAGCGTACACGTGCCCAGGCATTTATTTTGCCTGACACATAATTTTGATATCGACCGGTCATTAGTAAAATCATGTTTTAAAACATAATCTTATAAAACAAATAATACCCATAATTTTGTTCAGACATTAGTAAAATTACCTAGGATAAGTAAGAAATTTACGAAGTATATGGCTCAGCTAAGAAGTTTACTTATATCGTATTCAAATCTCATTTTAGGCCTGCGACAAAATCTAAGTAAATACTTAATGATAAGCATTGTGACGTCACACGGTCAAAGCAAAAGTAACGCGCAATTAATTAGTCGCAATAAATGCGGGTGCGCAGGTTATGATACTGCATGAGAAAAACAAACGCCTACCAAACAAAGCCTCCAAATAATTGGCTTAATATAAGTCTGGTAGAGAGCTGTCTTAAATTTAGGGTAAAATACTTAGCCAAAAGTTTGAATTTAATACCAAAATTGGCTAAGTATTTTATATGAGCCAACTACTTAGTAAAAAGCTTAAGTTGTGTACTGAAGTATTAAATTGAATACGGGCTGCTTAAATAATAGCCCATACGACATGCACAATTTGATGTGGCCACCAATTACAGAGAATTGTGCCTCCGGCACCACCTTAAGTCTTTGAGGTATGAAAAACCAACAAAAAATGTGAAGTTCCTTCTCATGCTTGAAATGGGTCAATAACACACACCGATGGCTACTGATATTGAATAAGTGTCAGAAAATTTGCTTGCTCGCTTTGCTCACTTGCAATTACACCATAATTGTTATCCGTCACCAGATACCATCATATATGACTTGAAAGACACTGTCAATAATCAAATAAGAAACAAACAAAAACTAATGGCAAAGGAGAGATGTTCTTTTTAGATTCCGTTGCATCCCAGAAGTCCACGTTGTACTGCAAAATAGAAAAGCAAGATACTTACAATTTATGTGAGCACCCGGTTTCAGCCAGCTAGACTCCAATACAGGAGTTTTAGAAGAAGTGCATGTGACAATAACATCTGCACCAGTAACTGCCTCTTGAGCTGTTTCACAAGCTTTTACATCAAACTTCTGGGCAAAAGCCTGGCACTTCTCAGAGGATCTTGTCCAAACTCGTACCTGCATCAAAGAGATCAACGTGATGCAGTTTACAGCTTTGTGTCTGAAGAATTATTTATTGATCAAATGATGTCACAGGATCGTGCTTGATTCTTCACACATAAAATGAACATGTGTGGGTGAACGAATAGCAAATGGGAATAATTAAATGAAGCTAAACACAAAAAAAGCCCCTATAAAGAGTGATTATTCATTCTAAATGGTTTTTGGATAAGAAAAAATTCGCAGCTAGATGGCCAAATTGCAGATTATTTTACAATCATAATATATCAAATGGATACATAAATATCAATAATGCATTGATATCCGTGAAAATGCATCATCTTTTGACAAATGACATAATCAAGGGCATAAATAAAGGTTTATCATATAATAAAGATGTTTGAATTGTAGTAGGCCTATACATGTAGGCCTACGTGCATCTTTATCATGTTAAATATCAGGATATCAGGCATGGCAACAGGTTTTGACAAATTCCAGCAAATAAGCACTTTCAGTACCGGTACTTTGTTTATCTTCTGTGCTGTATGTGTCATTTATAACATCAATATGAAGCGCTAATGTAGAGGTTTGTGGTCTTGTGGATAAGTCTCTGGACTATGAACTACAAGGTACGGGTTTGAATTCCTACCGCAGCATTAAAATCCTTTAGAAAGATATTAATCTACATTTGCCAGACTTGACCGACGTGAGGTAAATAGGTACCTGCCTACATGGTAAGATTTATTCCTTGAATATACAAAGCGATATGGTTTTCGGAGGTAGAGCAAGGGTCACAAATATCCAAAGTCCTTAGACAGTGCATAGAGATTTTATAACACAAGGTGATTTGCACTTTACAAGAATGGAATATGATAAATATTATAGGATTTCCCGGCCAAATTCGCGAGTTTGTCATTCGAATTCATTTACTTTGCAGTTAAGTTAGCGCAGATCAGCTTTGCCATGCCAATTATCATTCAATTTTCCCGATTTTGTATTTAATTTAGGATATTGGTCGAAGGATTTCATAGATCTGTCATTCAATTTAAAAACTGATCAACTAGCATTCAAATTAATCGTCACTTGTCGAGGCGTCATTTTTATCATTCAAATTAACACCTGTCATTCGTATTCGAATTATGTTTATTCAAGTTAGGAATGTTACGGGGAATTAAATACATGATTTGCCATTGTTGTCTGTTCTGTTATTCAATTTATTCATTTTGAGGACAAAGCATTTGTTTGTAGGCAGACATTAGTTAAAGAAGGGGCGAAATCAAGGGATATGGCATCTCTGAACGGACATGTTCATATACCCCGGAAAAGTGGGGATACAAAAACACCTACCCCAGTCACAATATTGTACCCTTCCTCTATAATGAAATTGTATTAAATTTATGATGAAACACAAGACAAACAGCTTCTTTACATGTAAATTTACACAAGTATTGAGACCATCAAGTCCGTAGATGTAAGTCTTTTTTTTAACAATCAAACTTAAAGGCTGATGAATATTTGATAAATCTAAAAGTATGTAAAGAGTATAAATGCAAGAAAAGAAAATAGGATGAAATACACATGAAAAAACGATCTTGAAAGAAAAAGAATGAGCTATAAAAAGTGTTTAATAAACGAGAAATGTATATTGACCATTAATTTTAGGGCACAAAGTGCTAATTTGAATGCTACAAATGAATTCGAATGCTAGAAGTACACCGTCGCGATGTCAGAAAATCGTGTTGCGCTAAATCGAATGACCAAATAGCGAAAGAAGCACTTTGTTCATTAATTGGAATGAAACATACATAGATTCTAACGAAAACTTCATAGATTTGAAATCTAGAAAAAGGAATATAAACCCGAGATATACCCGACAGCACTAAAACCGTCGAATTTGAACTCAAGACAAATGAATTTGAATGGCAAACTCGCGAATTTGGCCGGAAAATCCTATATTATTATCATCATGACATTTTATTTTGCCATAGCAGTATTTTTGATGGCATAATGCATCGTCTATGTGGATGAGACTTGATACAGACCTCCCTAATTGTCGCCATATGCTTCAAGGCATGAAGGTGAGACACGGCCTGGGACCCTGCTCCAAGAATTGCTAACGTCTGCCAGCCATCCTTCGCCAGGTACTGGATGGAAAATGGAATTTATATTACACGTTCAATTTATTGATGATATTATCAACTTAATGTCTATTAAGTTGATGATTGTCATAACAAAATTACAATAAGAACAATATAAATATTAATCATCATTATAATAACTATTATAACAATAATAAAAAGAAGAAGAAGAATGAGGAGAAGAAAGAGAAGTAGAAGAATGATACTACTACTACTATTACTTATAACAATAATAATATCATAGATTTATGGCACTAAACAAAAATAATCATAGACATTTAAATACAAAATGACAACATTACACAAAATAAAAACAACTAGGACACAATAGACTAAGGAGAAAAGACACAAATAATTTATTTTAAACCTCCGGAAAATCTTTTGTTTTAATCTAATAAGATATAATAACATTTCCGTTTTGTGTATATTTTTTGGGGGGTGGGGTAGGCAGATAGATAATTTCACTAAACTCACAGGCACACATGGAAAGTGCAGACACATGAGTATAAAGTGCTAAAAAGATAATTTATTGCCTGGAGGATGAAACCATAACACATTTTCAAAAATGATTGAATGACAACTAAACCCTTCGGATATAGGGATGAACACATTGCGAATACCATATTGAGTGAAAGATATCGCTGTCTTCAACATGGTTAATTGATTCCTGCTGAGTTTAATATCAGATATAATTTCTTACCTTTGTAGCTACGGCTGATGCTGCGGCGGTTCTCATAGCAGTAATGTGCTCTGCATCCATTACCTAGTAAATGAACAGGAAGGCATGTAGCTTAGCAAAAAGACCCGCCCAGAACACGAAATGCATAATGATGGACAATTATTACTTTCATAAGGAATAGAGGTAGAACCACGTTCTCAGGACGTGGAGCTGTTAAACAACTCTGTGACCTTGATTATGACAGATAACACCAAAAATGATAATGTATTGTAAAATGTATTGAGACTTGCTAATTTTGCATGAAATATGAATAAAAAGAATCAACCAATTAAAATGTGATTTAGATATGTCCAGAAAGGACTTTTAATTCCTGAATCGCACCAACAATTATGGACGCATCTTTTGTGCCAATTCATTTCACTCAGCTACCTAATAGGATTATGCCATTCAGTTTACAATTCCTGGTCCTAACTGTAAGGGCTGAGATTAGGACTACATGTAGGGTTAGGTTTACCGTAATTCTAGCCCCCTTAACCAATTATGGCACATACAATACTGAAGTAATTTTATCAGGGTAGGTCCAATGGTACATATAGCCAATGGACCGATAGTGCATACAGGGGAGGAGCAACAGAAATCCAGATGACCAGCTGCATATGGAACCGATGGTTCATAGGACAAATGGTGACTGTTACCAGTGGTACATTGAGCCAATTAATGGTGCATATGCCCAATGGTGCATGGGACAAATACTGGGTAGCCATACGAATGGAGGGTCTATCGTAGGGGTGTGTATCAGTAGTTTCTTATTAAATACATGCATGTATAAGAAGACATTAGGCAAGGTCTTTAGAACTCATTGTTGTTATGATTTATCAGTAGAACTGACAACAGGCATTACAAACATATGGCTGAAGAAAGAGAGAAACACAGAAAACAATTTATCACAATATTCCCCCCTTTTCTTTTCCATGCTCGAAAGGAATAGGCCATGTTCATAGCTAGTTGAGGGATATAGTTATGTCACAGGAGGTTTTTCCCGATTGGTCAGTCACTTCACAGAACTCCAAACAGTTCCCTCCCATGGAAATTAAAAATGGGAAGAAACTGTTTGGATCTCCATAATATGACCTATGACCCTGCATAATTATGTATGTATGTGCTATGTAAAATTCGCTCTCTCGTAATGCACTCTGGACATGTTTCATGTCGAGGAGCAAGGAATCATTATCAAAGTCGTAACTTACGGCTTTGGATTCTCCGGTCCGGGCATCATGCAGAATGATCGTTCCGACATGTAAGGGGAGGTTGTGCTCAGGATTGTCTACGTAACGATTGATAATCTTTGTTACAATGACATTACCAACAGGACTGAAAGCAGACATGACCGACACAACCCTGAAGAAACAAAAAAAAAGCAAAGCAAAGACTGAAAACAAAAAAATAAGTAAAGGTTGTTGAAATTTGCACATGCAAAATAAATAAATATGTGAAGCATTCGATCTCACCCTTAAAAGACTGGTTTTGAATTCTGTGGCACGTTAAGAAAACAACTTTACAGTAATAGACTGCGGTGAAGATAAAAAACACTACATCAATTTTCATGAAAACTGTTCAATTTTGGTCAAAAATGGAACAATTCGATGTCAATTTCTTCCATCGTCTTTTTGTTATATATCTTATTTTTAAATTCTAATCTCTCTTCATTTTATCGATCAGTGCCGCACTGCATGACGCGACGATTTAAAGTCTACCTATATTCTGACATTTGCGTACAGATACTGAACATTTTAACTGTGAACTTACGTACAGTTAAAAACTTCAAATTGGTTAATAGAAACGTGATTTCAATTAAGCCATTGAATTCCCAGTCACTTAGAAGCGCGTCGGTAGCTTAGTCGGCCATGATGTGAAATAAAGGTTTTAGCCAACTCGCACTTTACTGGCACGTGACACATGACGTCATATGTAAACAACACTGTCTAAAAGCTCTTGTATAGTAAATATAGCAGTCATTAAATTTTAAACAGCGAATGTTTAACAAAATTCCTTTCGTTTCGAGCAACACTGTTTGCAATTTGTTCAACTGTTGTTTAAGATAGTGTACAACTGTAAGTGAACATCACTTTTTTAAGCAGCGTTTTTACTGTGTACTATGCAATATAAAGCATCTCTTTTTATTTCTATCCCTTTTTCCCGTTACAATTCTTTAGGGGTTCTAGGACAATTACCCCTTGGGCAATCACCCCCACCCCCGGAAAATTGCCCACGGAAAACTACCCCCAAAGGAAAATTATCCCCTGGAATTTTGCCCCCGGAGAATCACCTCCTGAGGACAACTACCCCCCAAGGACTATTACCCCCGACGACAATTACCCCCCCCCCCGAGGACAACTACCCCCGAGGACAATTACCCCCTAGGACAATTACCCCCCGAGGAAATTACCCCCTAGGACATTTACCCCCCGAGGACAATTACCCCCCGAGGACAACTACCCCCGAGGACAATCACCCCCGGAGGACAACTACCCCCCCCCCCCCGAGGACAATTACCCCCCGAGGACATTTACCCCCCATCGACACTAGTTGTCCTTGGGGGGTAATTGTCCTCGGGGGTAGTTGTCCGGGGGGTTATTTTCCGGGGGGTAATTGTCCTTGGGGGGTTATTGTCCTCGGGAAGTAATTCTCTGGGGGGTAATTTTCCGGGGGGGGGGGGGAATCGTCCTACGGGGGTAGTTTTCCGGGGGTGATTGCTCATCGCCTCAGCGATAAAGTTGAACCGATCGGGTCTACGTCCTGAGTTGACCCGTAATTTTGAGGGGTGCTGAAAATTAGGTATTAATTTGCCTGTGTGCAATAATGAAAGGGTAAATACTTTGTATTTCTTTATATTTTTATTCTACATACATACAGTTTTTCCATTTTTATCAAGTTGTTTTTTCATCGGATTTGGTCTTTACGGATTTAAAATTTAACTCTATTACATTTCAAAAATGGTTTACTCCATGCGTCTTACCCATTATGCTCTTCAATGTCCATTCTGGTTTTCTGTGGATATATTCCTCCTCCCCCTCCTTCTTCGTTCCTTTTAGAAAAATTCCCAAGACCTTGTTCCACGGCGGGTATGAGCTCATTGTACGTCAGGTTTTCGACGACTTCGGCGGGGCTGATCAAACATGGTTGGGATGATGCATGGGCCATCTTGTACGTAACCTGGAATTCAGAATGTAAGATAAACGAATATTTGATGCATATGAATTATTTATGTGTAGAGGGGGAATTGAAAGAAGAAAAAAGTCCAATGTGATTTAAAATCTTTTATTGGTTTTTGTGTACCATAAATTATAACTAAATAATTATCGTATAATTTCCTTACTCTGATGTAACTGTTTAAAGAAGCCTGTGACATTAAGTGGTTAATTGTGATTCATGAGCATTGTCGCTTGTATTGTACATGTACTTGTATCCACTTCCCCCATATATTTTTTTGTTTTAGTCATGTGTTTTATTTTTAATTTTTGCTCATTATGTCTATTGTTTTATTTCTCATTTATTCTTTTGTTCTGGAATCAAGTTACTTTGAGAAACATATCAAAGCAATTTGATATCAATTCATATCTCCCACTTATTTATTTATTTATCTTTATTCAGCTACAAAATCACGGATAACATCATAGATATATATTTATAACAAGCATCTCGTGTTCAGATGAGATCAAATTATTTATCTGTATTTACTTGAAAGCAGATTCTAGATGCATTTCCTGCAAATCATCAATTATCTTTATCCACTTAGTAGTATTTACATTTGTTGTTTTAGTTTTATTTTCATCAACTTCTAGTCTGTATTTTGACATAAACAAAACATATTTGCTTATTATTTTTGTTGCTACATTTTTATTAAATTTATTTACAATAATCACTTTATAAATTGCAAATAAAGCATAATGAAGCAGTCAATTAATATATGTTGCATTTCCGTTTGCGTCATGAAAACCATAAACAACACAAATGGGTGAGAATTTAAAATTTCTACAGAAGGAGATACATAGAAATCATTTAATAAAGTTCCAAAATGGATAAATCTGTTCGCATTAAATAAATACATATATTAAATTGTCTATATCGATTCTGATGTGCGATTGGTCGAAATGCTGTCACATGACCATCGCAACAAGGATGAGAAGCGTTATACTTTCCAACATGACTTAAATTACGTCATACCTCTGAATATAACGCTGTTATATCCCGAGGTATGACGTAATTTACGTAATACCTCAAGCTCACACTACAAGTTCAATGCACTGTATGCACACGTACACAGCAGCTTCGCACATATCTACACGCATTAAAGGGAACCAAAACCTTCATACTAAGTTACTTTTATTGTATAGTTTAAAATATTTGAATAAAATCAGCAAAAATTTGAACAAAATCGGGCAAGGAATAAGGAAGTTAGAGCTTTTTGAAATTACTAGTCACTAGAGGGCGATATTTAATTTGACATCATCTGTGGACAACTCTCCATGCCTTTTGTACATCAAATTTCATGTTTTTCCTTCTTTCTTGTGATTGAGATAATCTACTTCCCTGAAAGCAAGGTATGGAATGCAAAATGGTATTCTACTTCACATGTTATGAAGTCGGATCAAGAACACAAATAAATCTGAAGAAAACAAAAGAATTGTGAAATTTTATGCAGCGCAAAATATGAAAGTGCAACAAACAAAAATTCGCTTCGCTTGGTGAGTAAGAATTGACCTTAATAATTGAAGAAAAAGATTCTCTTTCTACTGAAAAAGTCATCAATGTAGATGATAATGTGCTGAAAGCTTACACTACAGTGAACACAAAGGATTTACAATTTTAGAAACAATTATAGCAACTGAACTGAGTAAGTTTCAGTCTTCGAATTTATGCAGAGGTTTGTAGATCGAATGGTCAATTATAAAGTAAGCGGTCCACTCCGTGATAACAATGCGATATGGATTGCAGAGACATTTCAGAAAAGTGAGTGATTTCAGTCTTGATATTGTAAATGACCCACAGTTCAAAGAACTTGTTTCACGCCGTTCTCATAAAAATAAAGAAGGAAGGAAAAGGGTATGTTGATCACAAAGATCCCGTTACAAAGGATGATTTTTTGAAAATCAAGTCATCAACAGCAACGGATGTAAATACTCCCCGCGGGCTTCAGAACAAAGTATTCATAGACATTATGATGCATTTTTGCAATCGTGGGAAAGAAAACTTACGCAGTTTTTCCAAAACAGATTTTGTAGTCGTGACTGATTAAAAAAATAAGAGATATATGTACCTTGCCAGTGACAAACTGAAAAAAAAAATCATCGAGGAGAATCTCTCGATGACTTGCGCAGTCAACAAGGAAGGATTTACGAAAATCATAATTTACGTTGAATCATTTCTTAAGCACTTTTCTCATCTTAATCCAGCATGCAGTGACTTTTTTTAGCGTTAAAAGACGAGCCTGGAAAGCAATGAGCAAGTGTGGTACTGCAATTCTCTCGCCGGAAAGAACACTTTGGGTTAAAAAATGAAGAAAATATCTCTTGAAGCACATGACATCAAAAGTCTACACAAAGCATTGCCTACGCGCAACATCTTTTCATGTCCTAGACGCAAGTGGATTCGAAGCCAGACACATAATGTTCTTATCCGGACACAAGTCCGAAAGTAGCATCAAGCACTAGACCTACTCCTATGTCGATGAAGCTAAAAAAAGACGCATGAGCAGATGCCTTTCATCAATGAGTGATGAAATAGCTGGCCCATCTACAGCACCATCCACTTCTGCTAGCATTCATCCGACTAGTAATAGTATTACTACTAGTCCAGGACCAGGACCAAGTACTAGTACTAGCACTGCAGCTCTCGTGTCGGTACAACACACAGAAGAAACTGCATCGTCACAAAGCTCATAATCTCAGTCATCACCACAAATAAATGTTGTTTCTAACAAGCTAGCCTTATTATTTTTATAATTGTAATGTCAACTTTTAAAATTAATCTGATTTTGACTACTTGTACATAGTCTAGTCCCTAGAACTTAGATACTAGACAGACATATTAGGAATAACTGGATTTTCCAGTATTTTCGTGTTACAATCAAACTTTTACTGCGGAGTTGGAATTTCCGTGTTTAGTTGAGCTTGTTTCTGTTTAGAAATACTGTACAGTTGGATTTCATCACAAATTTGCGGATTTCTTAACATCTGACACTGCCAATGGAATCAAGAAGGCATTCTAAGATTAGACCTGTCTACAGCACCATAATTATGGTAATGATTTCACAACAAATTTGCGGATTTCTTAACATTTGACACTGCCACTTGAATCAAGAAAGCATTCTACAATCAGGCCTAGACTAGATCTATAATAAAACTAAAAATGGTGAGTCGGCACAATAATATTCTGATATTACTTTTATTTTTTCTATTTATCTTATTTTGTATCTGATATAGGGCATCATAATATAACAAATATTGACTTTTTCTTTCGGGAACAATATGATATTTTAATTTCCCTTGGGGTGTTATATTTTTGTCTCGGAATACTATATTTTTCCTCAGCGCTACGCGCTTCGGAAAAATATAATGTCTCTCGACACAAATATAACTCCCCTCAAGGATCTCAAATGTTATATTGCCCCTCTAGGCAGTCAATATCTCTATAGTATTATGGTACCAGGTTTGTTACAATACTAACACAAATCTTTTTCTTTGATTCTCCATTTGAATCAATTAAGAGGTGTTGGTAAAATATTATACATATAATTAAAGTTGAATTGTATCAAGTAATTAACACGAACATATTTCAATGTAGGTAACCACAGAGAATCCCATATCATAGGAAAAAAATTATGTAACATTTAGTTCCCAAAATATACTGGCCTGGATGGTTTTTTAATCAATTTTACGACTTCCGTATGAAAAAAATTCACAGTAATACAGTGTATTGATATTCTAAAACTATTCAAATTCAGTCAAATAAGAATATGTCATTGATATACGTTTGTAATCTTTAAAATCATCAACTTTTTGTTCTCCATATTTTATCATTTGCCTCCATCTATGCTGTATTACGGTTCGTATTTTGACATATTCACTTTACCATAATACCATCTACCATCATACTAAATTAGTTTATCTTTCAATTCTTTGACTATCAAAAATCTATTTCCTTTCACTGTATATCCCCTAAAAAAATATATGACTTTATCAAATTTGTATACCCAATTGTTTTTCTTTAAATTTGATATCACGATTTAACCAAATCATTTCTTTCGTGACACTTTCATAGGTGGATTGTATATTTTGTACATAATATACTTGCTTTACTGTAAACCACGTATAAAGTAAATCACAATAGAAATCAGGTATTTTTCCTCTATGAGAAGTCACATATTTTGGTAAACATTTACAATTCAAAATGATATAATCCTTCCCATTTGTTCATTCCAATACTTGTCAATTTCCCCTTTTTCATGGAGTTCTTTAAAACTCAGGAAGCTAAACAACTTTTTTTAATTCTTAACGACATACATTGTGTACAAATGTCAACCATATTCATGCCTCCATTTTGAAGAGTATTTACTATGTTTTCCTTTATTCACTTTCGCTCTATTACCCCATTAAAAAAATCATAAAATAACATTTCGTACGCTTTTAACCATTCTTACAGGGCACGATAAAATTTGAGCTGTATGAATCAATTTCGAAATCACAAGACCTTTTCAAATAAGTGCTTTCCCATTTAATGTCAAATTTCTCCGTTTCCTAGAACTTAAAAGCTATTGTATTTTAATGAATCTTTCTTGCGACCAATTCATATTCATACTCAAAGATTTATTCTTACTAAAGTATATACCCAGAGATTTAAAAAAAGTATCACACCAACTTATATTCTTTATTGTCTCTGAGGGAGAAGTTTTACCCAACCATATGGCTTTAGTTTTATTCGTATTTTAATGTATTCCTGGTACCCTTTCAAAGTTTTCAATCACATTCATTACCTTCCTTCTAGATTTAACGTCTTTTACAACAAACTTCATATCGTCAGCCAGTTGAGTTACTTTAATTTCTGTATTGTGTTTTCCGATAGTATTATTCTATTATATTACTTAAAACTTCGTTCATCTCTACCTTTAACAATAAAGCAATAACGCATTTCCTTTGTAAATAACTGATATGTCCTTTCTCAAAAAGCCTCATTCAAATTATGAAGAACTAGGTCAGTTATTTCTGACCAAAATTCTTTTAAGAATTCTACGCTTAAACGGTCGAACCCTGGAGCTTTATTAGGTTTCATTTCATACTTGTTATCGCTTCAGTAATCTCTTTCACTAGGGACGTTTAGATATGCACGTCGACATAGTGGACTGCTATGTGTGACGTCCTTTTAAAGCACTCTGACTTCCTTTTAAGTTACTGCCAGTGCTTTAAAAGAACGTCACACGTAGCAGTCCACTATGTCGACGTGCACATTTAAAAGTCCATATTGTAACGAGCCCTTCGCACCCAGAAGAGTAAAAATCCACCGGTCAGACAGTTCAAAGAAGAAACACAATTTTGCTACCAGGTCCTTCCGGCTGGTAGGAAGTTTCAACCAATCAGGTGCAAGTTGCAAAGTGATTGACCAAGCACAAGCCAATAACATTTAAAAAATACTCTTACAAATATTAGTAATCCAAAATCTAGACCATTACGTCTATGGGGGGAATTATTATAAATATAGCTAGATGGTCAATTCCAATTCAGAAGCTGTTGCAATTCGAAAAATAAACTATTTGTTTGAGTAATACACGAAGTATTACGAGTTGTTCGTTATAATACTAAATTCATACATTTTATACCGGTCATGGTGGCTCAGTGGTTACAGCGTCCGCCTCATGAACGGAAGGTCGTGGGTTCGAACCCCGGCCGAGTCATACCAAAGACTTATAACTAGGCTATAATAGCAATGGGACCTTCTGCCTTCTAGCTAGGCGCTAGGCATATTAGATTGGAGAAGGATAGTAATAGTAATAACATGTTTATGCAGGGCCCGCTGGAAGAGCAGTTTCATAACTGAAGTGGCTACCCTGGGTAAATGAAACGTTATTATTATTATTATTATTATTATTATTATTATTCAGCTATCGGTGAATACATCGTAGGTTTTGTAAAGGACAACTTGATAGTCCTGGGGAGTGTTTCACAAAGACTAAGTTATGCATTATGATTGAGTTATGATACATGTAGACAGGTCTGCATGTAGAAAGTATTTTGATGTGCTCAAAATATGTTGGGTAGAATATTATCGCTTTAATTAATGAAGTGTGTACTGTGTGGTTGTGGTAATATCACATAGGTGATTCCGAAAGTGGTACTTGTGAAAGTATTAAACTGATTGTTTTTTTGGAGAAAAAAAACGTTATTAATTATGAATACTATAGGTACACCATGCATTAAGAAATATTGTCATGAATATAAAGTAAATATACTGTAAGCAGCTGGTTAAATGTTTTGCAGATGCTGACCTAAAATGTTTATTGGTATATTCCCATTCTTACTTGGCTCAGTTTTGACTTTAGCTGGAGACTTAACAATAGAGAGAAAGAAGTTAAAGGTAATACAAAGTTTTGGGAAATTTCGAAAATTGGGTGGATAGTGATTCTTTACAATTTTGATATATTTGGATGCCCATGTGGATGTATTATAAGCACTAGAAAACTTAGGCCCTAAAACACTTCTACTTTTGAGAAAAATGGAATATAAAAATTGACCGGTGCTCCCGGTAAATGTTGATAAATTTCAAATAGCGCCTACGACCGTACAATGGTAGCTGCATCCATGAAAATCTCAGAATGTTTAGTTGCGATATATAATTTCCAAACGGGGATAGCTAATCGGTCGATTTTAGTCAAGAAACATTGTTTTATAGCTTAATTAACATCATGACCTTGAGAGGGAGCTATACAACATAAAGAGTGTATTACATACAATTTCATAACTTTAGACTCGATTTCAACCGCAACAACGATCACTGAATAATGTAGGATCGCATATGCTTCCAATATGTTCATTTGAACCAAATTCATGACCCAATACCAACACTCTGTATTACCTTTAAAGAATGCCGACCATTCAAAATTCAATTCACGTATAAGCTGCTATTCTAACCTTTGCGATGTAAATTCTCACAGAAAGCTGACCACGTAGACACTCTTTCGAAAATGTAAACGTTGACCGAAGAAGAACAATCCATCAATATCTAACCGTAATTCGTGCAATCAAAATGGCGTCTGGTTGTCTACCGTCGAACTTCAAACTAATGTACCTTTTGCCTTTGGTAGGCTTATACATAGTGATTCTTTACAATTTTTATATATTTGGATGCCCATGTGGATGTATTATAAGCACTAGAAAACTTAGGCCCTAAAACACTTCTACTTTTGAGAAAAATGGAATATAAAAATTTGCCGGTGCTCCCGGTAAATGTTGATAAATTTCAAATAGCGCCTACGACCGTACAATGGTAGCTGCATCCATGAAAATCTCAGAATATTTAGGTGTGATATATAATTTCCAAACGGGGATAGCCAATCGGTCGATTTTAGTCAAGAAACATTGTTTTATAGCTTAATTAACATCATGACCTTGAGAGGGAGCTATACAACATAAAGAGTGTATTACATACAATTTCATAACTTTAGACTCGATTTCAACCGCAACAACGATCACTGAATAATGTAGGATCGCATATGCTTCCAATATGTTCATTTGAACCAAATTCATGACCCAATACCAACACTCTGTATTACCTTTAAAGAATGCCGACCATTCAAAATTCAATTCACGTATATAAGCTGCTATTCTGACCTTTGCGATGTAAATTCTCACAGAAAGCTGACCACGTAGACACTCTTTCGAAAATGTAAACGTTGACCGAAGAAGAACAATCCATCAATATCTAACCGTAATTCGTGCAATCAAAATGGCGTCTGGTTGTCTACCGTCGAACTTCAAACTAATGTACTTTTTGCCTTTGGTAGGCTTATACATTTACAAATTCAATAGCATCTGACATGCATGCATGCACACATTGCAGTAGAGCAGTATAGCCAGTAGACAAGATTCTTGTCGAATTTATCGCTTTTATCCCTCCCTACCGTCGAACTTCATACTACTGTGCCCTTTGCCTTTTGCCCATTGCGTTTTTACAAAAAGAGAAGAAAAAAATATGACAAGAATAATAGGCACTTGATGGCCCGAATTCACAAAGCAAGGTTTGAGCTCAGACCAAGGTTTGAGCTCAAACCTCCTTTTGTTTCGCCAAACCTCCTTTTGTTATTTATAAACCAGGTTTGTAAATAACAAAAGGAGGTTTGGCGAAACAAAAGGAGGTTTGAGGTCAAACCTTGGTCTGAGCTCAAACCTTGCTTTGTGAATTCGGGCCTATGCGTTTGGTAAAGTATGCATATACAAATTCAATAGCATCTGACATGCATGCATGCACACATTGCAGTAGAGCAGTATAGCCAGTAGACAAGATTCTTGTCGAATTTATCGCTTTTATCCCTCCCTACCGTCGAACTTCATACTACTGTGCCCTTTGCCTTTTGCCCATTGCGTTTTTACAAAAAGAGAAGAAAAAAATATGACAAGAATAATAGGCACTTGATGGCCCGAATTCACAAAGCAAGGTTTGAGCTCAGAACAAGGTTTGAGCTCAAACCTCCTTTTGTTTCGCCAAACCTCCTTTTGTTATTTATAAACCAGGTTTGTAAATAACAAAAGGAGGTTTGGCGAAACAAAAGGAGGTTTGAGGTCAAACCTTGGTCTGAGCTCAAACCTTGCTTTGTGAATTCGGGCCTATGCGTTTGGTAAAGTATGCATATACAAATTCAATAGCATCTGACATGCATGCATGCACACATTGCAGAAGAGCAGTTTAGCCAGTAGACAAGATTCTTGTCGAATTTATCGCTTTAATCCCTGCCTATAGCGGCCGGACACAGATGACCCGACACAGCAACATATATACATGCGTATCTTTCCCGCTCCATCGACGAGATCACTTCACCCAACAACCCCCCCCCCCCCTCCTCCTCTCTCTCTCTCTCTCTTACTCCCACCCTTTTTCTCGCATGCTCTTACCCCTCTCTCTCCTCTTTTTCGTCCCCTGTTTCATTTGTTTCATTTTCTTTCTTTTTGTGTTTTCTTTGTTTTCTTTGTTTTCTTTTCTTTTCCTTTTTTTCTTCCTCTCCTTTCTTTTTTTTTCTCTTTCTTTCTTCTCTTCTCCTTTCTTTCTTTTCCTTTCCTTTGTTTTCTTCTTTTTCTTTCCCTCTCTTTTTTCCCTCCCCCTTTTCTCATTTTCCCGACGGCAGGCAATTTTACTGACAATATCCTGATAAGTTGGGTGGCTCTTATCCCCCCCACCCCCCCCCCCCCCACTCCCCTCTAGCGACGCCCCTGAGTATAGCAAGCAAAAAGAGAAGACAAAATTGACACGATTGATAGGCACCAGTGCACTTCATAAATACCAGTCTGCCTGTCATAATGCTGTGCGTTCTGTAGTTCTATCCCGTATTGATTATTGTAATGGGCTTCTCTCTCCCATTCCCTCGACTAAATTGGATCGTGTGCAACGGCTACAAAATTAGGCAGCCCGATTGCTTTTTCAGATTTCTAGGGTCAATCCATCTCAGCCCGACACTCTTGAGATCATTCACTGGCTTCTAGCTTTGAAACAAAGAATAATTGTTAAATTACTCTTGTTTGTCTTCAAAATACTCAATAATCAAGCTCAACAATATTTAGGCACCTGTTTGAATTTATATACACCTGCCAGGGCATTGGGGACAGCCAGTGGTCCTCCGTCTCACATAGTATTCAATTACCCGCACATTAGCCGGTGAAAGGACATTTACTGTATCTGCTTCAAAATACTGGAATGATCTACCATTTATAATTAGGTAGTCTCCATTACCTTCAGAAAGGCCTGTTTGTAGTTGTAAGATTGTTTTTCTTATTTAATTGTGACTGTCTGTGAGGCGAAACGCTGAATAATAACAACGACTCAGGTTTTTACGGGAATGTCAGTTTATTCTAGAGTCATAACCATCAAGGGGAATGCAACTCTGTCTTTGACGAACGAATCTTTTATCTTTACTCCTTTCACTGCTTTATTCCGTTCTTCTTCCCTTCACTCCGTGAAAACTGTACATGATAAAGCATAACAGGAATGCATAATAAGTACGTGTTCATGAATATAAGTTTCACAACATTAAAGCAACTATAGCATTCTACTAAATCAAAAGCATTGTCTGAATTATAACTCCTTTTCATGTTTGCTTGTAAATCTTATATAAGTCAGACACTGTCTTGACAAATCTATCTGAACTTTATGTAGAATGTCACAGCTAACACACAATTAAACTTATATCATCTCTATCATGTCTAAACCAGATTTAACACGGTTTCAACTAAAAATGTGACCATATTTAACGAACTTGAATGACTTTATCATAGTCAAGGAACACAATAACAAAGTCATGACCTTGACCAGTCATTCACACAAATATGCTCACATTCCTCATCCATTTTCATCATAGAATGTCTTCTTCTGCATCAAACCTCTAACTTTACTATTTCTTTCAACTTTAAGCAAAACCAAAACATCAATTATAGATGTAATGACATATTGAATGTTCTATAGATATCTCTGGTAAGGTAATTGTACTATCCTATGTGTGGGTACACAGTATAAACATGTTATACATTTGTCATACAAATTACTGCTGCTCTGTGTAAGTTTCATACAATGTAAACATCTTAAAAACTACCTTTTTTACATTCATTTTCATAATGCTCAAATATGTGGTTTAACTTACCTCTGTGCCTCCATAATACTGTAGAAACAGCTCTCAGGAACAAAGGATGCTCCAGAAAACCACAGATTTTCCTCACAAAACAGAAATCATGTTGCAAACATGATCATTTCAAATCAGCCAACAACAGGTGGCGCCAAACAAGTTTCTGACCTTCAAACTAGAAAAACTTCAAATAAGAACTGTCAAAGTAATCTTTGACCAAACGCCCTCTGTTGTTCTATTATTGCAATGTCAAGCTAAATCAATAAATACTAAATAAAATGACTTTAACTAGCAAATACAAAATTACAACTTTCACATTAATGTATTTAATAAATACATTAAATATGAAAAACAATCTTATGTAATTTTCATTTTCAATCACTGTATTAAAGCGCTTTAGGCCTTATGGGAAAAGCGTGGTAAGTAATAATGATAAGAGGCTTTCATTGGGACCCTGGTTCATAATACATGTACCAAGTGACAAGGTAGAACTTTTGATATAAGCTACTGAAATTATTGCATTTGATTGGCTGTGAACAAATTTGTTTCAACTGTTTGACACTTGTTATTGATAATAAGTTTATCGAAAACTGGGCCCAAAGGACTGTTTTAGCATTAGATCATTAGACCATCTAACTCACTGACAAAAATATTTTCAATCTGACCGTAGCCGTCGGGTTAAGCCCACAGAGCGCCTGAAAACAGAAACCCAAAGTCAGCTTGTTTTCACCCCATCTAGCACAACATTTAAGTATGGAGTAGCATGACTGGACATTACAGAACACAATAAACTGACAACAATTTCCGTCTTGATGAGGAGTCAGACGGGCCCTAAGAACTGGGGTCAAATGTTTCCCTTAGGTCCCATGTACCAAGTTTTGTCAGAATGGAGAGCTCAGTGGTTGTACATTACAAAAATATATCAACTGACAAAATTGTGTATCAGGAAGGAGGTATACCACTGCTCTAAAAAAGATGACACCAAAGTGCCTTTAAAACAATCTTTGCTGCCCAAACATGGTCTGCATGTAGATTTACATTCTGACCTTAAAGGTAATACAAAGTTTTGGTATGGGGTCATGAATTTGAACATATTGGAAGCATAGGTGATCCTACAATATTCAGTGATCGTTGTCTTGGTTGAAATCGAATCTAAAGTGATGAAATTGTAAATAATAAACTCTTTATGTTGTTTAGCGCCCTCTCAAGGCTTAGCAATACAACAATGTTCTCTGAATAAAATCGACCAATTTGCTATTACCGTTTGGAATATATATATCACAACTACATATTCTGAGATTTTCATGGTGGCAGCTACCATCGTATGGTCGTAGGCGCTATTTGAAATTTAACCAAATTTACCGGGAGCACCGGTAAATTTGTATATTCAATTTTTCTCGAAAGCAGAAGTGTTTTAGGGGCTTAATTTTTCAGTGCTTATAATACATTCAAAGGGGCATCCAGATATATAAAAATTGTAAAGAATCACTATCCAGCCAATTTTCAAAATTTACCAAAACTTTGTAATACTTTTAATAACCCAATTCAATTCAAATCAGTTTGAGTTTACACAGTGCAATCTTGTGTATTGTGACTTTTTTGAGGTGCAATTTGTAATCATTTCATTACAAGTGAAAAAATATTGCATTCTCAACAATAGCACAAAATTGAGAAGATAATGACAATACTACCATTTAAACTCTGCACCAGTTTTACAAGATATAAGAAAGGTAGTCTGTATATAAAAATTTGTCCGCTCCGCGTTTTCCAAAGCCGTTTTGTCTGCGGCGGAGTTTTTTTTTTTTTTTTGCCGTTTACTCGTCATAAAGAGGCTTTATGCCCATTCACACGCATACATTAAGTGAGATTTGGATCGCGATTCTATTCTCACTTTTATTTTGCCACCGTTCATACTCTGCGAAAAATCTAACGTTTTGACGAGTGCTCGCTCTTGTTCACATGCAAAATGCTCTGCCAATAATCGTGATAATATATATTTTTTAAGCGCACTTTTAGTGAGACTCTGATCGTTATTAAAAAAAAAGATAATCTCTCTAAATTCTCTGTGTATGAATCCTACTTTTACTCCCCCCCCCCCCCCATCCCCGGCCGAGGGGCCCCTAGCTAGGCCCTTGATCCCCCCTTCCCCCTTTCCCCGAATATTTGTTCGTACCTGCCGACCTATTGCCTTATGAATTATTCATGAATAAGGCAGTAGACGAACAATACGCAAGCGCGTGGACTTCAAACCCTCCCTGATCGCTGCTGTTCAACATTAGGCAAAAAAAAAATCATTTGGTTGTCCTCGACCGCCCGCTCGTCATTTTCAGTC